ATAAAGAGGCTAGTGAAAGGAACATGTATAGCCCCTGGGAATTTACATGGGTACTGCAATGTGTGGTGCAGTTTTCTTCTTCAGTTTTCTTCTGTAGTTCCATGTCAGGATCTAACACCTTTTTGTGTCTACTTGTTTCCTAAAACTCAGGAGATGCTATAAAACAGACATTCTGTCCTTCAGTATATGCACATCTACATGTAGTGTGTGCAGTACAGAATTTTCTTGCAGCCAAAGAAAAATTGGCTCCATAAAAATAGTATTACTTACATAAGTGGCTGCCAAACAGGGATTACCTCTGAATGGGATGTATGCATGTGATCAAACAGTTCACACACATGCACTGGAATCTGAAGTGGCACAATGTTCAGCATGACATTTTGATGACCTTTTCAATAGACCTAGATTGAGGTTAGAGTTACTGATGAAACCCACACTTAGGCATCCTTCCAATAGTTTCCAATTTCATAATGATGGCCTTAAAAGAGCACCTTATAATGATTCCACATGCTTCTTTCATTAAAAACCTCTAGAATTCTTCTCTCTAATTTTTCAAAATGAGTAAGATGTTATTTGGTAAAGTTTCCAGGTCTTTTATTCTTTTATTGCCAGAAATAAAGAATTGTCCTTAATATCTTATATTCCATGTGTCAGTTACTGCCATTGGGAAAAAAGCTGTGCTTTGAGAATTGACTAAAAAACAAAACAAAATTTATCTATCTATCTATCTATTTATTTCAGTTATTCAATAGTCTTTCAGGATACTCCATAATGCCTCACCTTGCTTTTCTATTTTTTTCTGGGCAACCGGACAAACTGCAAAATGAATTGCTCGATTGCAGTCACTTACAGTCATTTTTTGCAGTCATTTTTTACTTTCTAAGGATTCTTGGAACTAAAGATGGCATGGCATTTCTTTGCACCATGACAGTCTTCCATTATTTTCAAAGTAAGGTTTTCAGCAGTTATCCAAAAATGGAGAGGGATGGAACCTAAGTAGATCTCCATCAGAGGGTATTCTACCGTTTTGGCACCACCACTGATAAAGCTTTGCCTTTTGTACTTGCCCAAGTGCTCTTGCATAAGGATGGGGCAGAGAACAAGACCCCCAGTGCTGATTGCAAGGGTTCAAATGGAAGTAGGTGATCTCTGAGATCACCTGGATTTAGAGATTTAAGGGACATTGTCAGCACTTTCAGGTGTCCTCCATCAGCTTCACTGGCTTCCCATTGAAGCCCGGGCCCAATTCAAGGTGTTGATTATGACCTACAAAGCCCTAAACGGCTTGGGTCCTGGCTACCTGCACGAGCGCTTACGTCCGTATATGCCCGACCGCCCTTTGAGATCTGCGGGAGAGTCCCTTCTCCGGGAACCCTCCATGAAAGAAATTAGGAGAGTAAGTACCCGGAGGAGGGCTTTCTCTGCGGTGGCGCCCAACCTATGGAATTCACTCCCCAAAGAGGTCCGCCTGGCACCGTCGTTACTGGTTTTTCGGCGCCAGGTAAAGACCTTTTTATTTAAACATCATTTCAATTGTTAAAACATATGATCTGGCCTGGGCAACTTCTTCTTCCTTCTCTTTCTCCTCCTATATTTTTATTTTATACTGATAATTTTAATTTTGTATTTGTAAATCAATGTATTTTTTGTATTGTTATATTTAATGGCAATTTATTATGTACTATTGTATTTCAATGTATTTTATCATGTTGTAAGCCGCCCCGAGGTTTCGGCAAGGGGCGGCATAGAAATGTTATAATAATAATAATAATAATAATAATAATAATAATAATAATAATAGTTTTTCAGTCACTGAAGATGAAATCAGATCTTAATTATAAGCCTGACTCTTTGAGCAGCACATATTTCAGTCACCTCATTTTGTACCAACTAAGGAGTATACAGCATTTTTAAAGGCATTCTCATGTAGGAAGCACTGCGGTAACCCAGTTTGAACATTAATAGGGCACGGATAGCTCTTATTATCTCTGCCTTCTCTAAGAAGAGCCTGCACTATCAGTCTGGATGAAATTGCGCAAGGCGCTTAATTATCTTTCCCACCAACTGAGCATCCAGGGAAGGTATCAGGTCAAAGAGTATCCCCAAACTGTGTACCTATTCCTTCACAGTGAATTCAACCCCATCCAGAATGCCCACTGCTTTGACACATTATTGCACACCATCATACATTACTGTCTGGTATAGTTTCCATATTAAATAGTAGAATGGAAAAGAGATTTTTTAAAGCAGGTATGTTACCAATTTTAGCCTAGCAAAATGAACAAGATTGACACAATAGAATTACAGTCATTGCTGGCAACCGCAAATTAATTTGTAACTCAAATAGTTCTAAGTTGAGTGGGGGTTAAAATTACATTTTGAACTATGGATGTTACTATTTGCATCAGATTTAAACTGGATAACTTCCATAACAGATGGACTCTGATACTAATTTAGCTAGAAAAAATAATTGGGCCAATACTGAATTCATTCATCTCCATTATGTTCCTAAATATTTGAGAACTTGTCCCTGTGGGGTGAGTCAGCTGGAAGTTGTGATTAATTAGTTCATTATCCTTTCAAATTGGAATACGATGCCTCTTTTAAATGAACTGTAGAGTGACTAGCAACTGGGACAACCTTGTGTTTGACAAGCCCATGAAGTAGGGAGTTGGAGGGGTGGGATGAAGATGGGATTTTTTTTATGATGGAAGTCCCTAGAATGCCAAGTGCAGATTGTTAATACTCAATGTCTGTTACCTTTTTGTAGTATTGTTGCTAGTGTTCCATTATTTGTTGTAAGTAACATTGTACATGAGTGGTACAGGGCAGAATGTTCTGGTTATAGATACACCTTTAAATTAACAAGCGTTAATTTTACAGCCTCACTGACAGCCAGCTTTAATTGTCATATTTTCCTTTTGCTGCTTCTCTGAGCATTAGTAAGTTCCAGGACAACAAATGTTGAAGCCTTGCTGTACTTACATAATCTCACTGCTGTTACCACCTTTTAAAGAAATAAGATACTTCCAAGCAGAAAAAAATCTAAAAGATTCCCCCCGCCCCCCGGGGAAACACAGAAGCGTTACCAGTGGAAGAAGATCCCAAGTAACATTCTGTGAATGAGACCCAGTGAGGTTCCATAAAAAATGTAGCGTTCTAACTGCTACTTCTAAGCCTCATCAGTCCCCAAAGTAATAGCAGCATCCTTCCAGTTCCTGCTTGCCAAATATTGCCGGCAACTCCTAACACTTAAACTGCTTTGTTTGCATTTGGGCTGGAACAAGATATTGTGGAGGGTGCTACCACTGTTGAAATAACTCCTCAATCAGCCATCTGATTGGCTTCTGTAAATGAAATGAGGAGGAGGCTATCATCTTGTCTTTCATGCCAGGCAGCAAAATGCCTTCAGCCCATTCTGGATGCATCTTCAGGTACCTCCTGTGGTAGATTTCTAGCTAAATACTAGATGGGCTATTAATTATCAACAACTAGTAATCTATGCAAGAACTTTCCAAATAAGGCAATCAGTTTAACTTGGTACAAGAGCATAACACCAGAAGGTATTCTTCCAAGGGTTAACTTTGCACATGAGATTTAATATAATTATATTGCTTTCCATTCAGTCAGCTTCACACAGAGGGGAATCAAAGACCTCTGGGTAAAATGGTAACTTTTGAATTCATTCTCCCACCATTAATCTTTACTTTTTCTACTGCAATACCCACATCTATAGTCTAGTATAGCAACCCTGCTAAAATAATTATATCATGCTTATTATAAAAAAATAGATCTAGTAAGCTTTTGCAGGCCTTGAGAGTTGGCTGACTTATTTTTGGCAATGCTTCTTTAAGATGAAATGCCTATTCATGCTGGATTGTATTTGCGGTGGATTTCATATAGTTATGCTTAAAATTCATATATGATACTAGTTCATTTGTCCAAATGGCTATGGGAATATAGTACATGCAGGTAACAAGAGCTATATAGTGTAACATTGACCTAGAGCCTCATGGGGGACATTCACTGACTTTGGAGAAATCAGGGGAGTTAATCTCTCATTTAAAGCTATTTTTTCTTGTTTTAACTCCCTTCCTATGGAGGGGAGTGGAATTTGGGAATGAAAACAGGTGGGAGGAAGCTTATATCTCTCCCTCCTTGATTGCCACAGTGCCAATCTGAATCAGGGCTGTGTGTACAAAAATTTAAGTAAAGAAGATAATCTTTATTATCTTCTTGTGTGCGTGCACATGTGTTTTAAAAAAGGCAGAAGAATTAGGTGGAAAGGTTACAAGTGGAATGTTTGTATAAGTGGTAGATGATGATGCTTGGAGCACCACTAAAATTTCATGAATAAGGCAGAAAGGGTAACTGCATGATAAAAGCCTTGACTGGAAGTACCTTAAGCTACAGAACGTTAACTGCATTTTCTCATTTGGCTTCTTTCACTTTGGCTTCTTCATTTTCTCTGTTATTTCTCTTCTTCCCAAATGTAGTCTGAGAACTTGGAACAAGGACCTGTTCAGTTTAGCTTGTATAGGTACAGCACCATATAAAAAAGAATATTAGTGAAACTATGGATTTGTTTTAGGGGTCATTTTGAGGTCCTTTTTATTTCTGCCTATGTAGTCTGTTTTTGTTTTAAATGATGTGTGCTATGTTGTATACTGACCTCTATCCCATGTGATGGAGGACTGACTGCATTTTTATTACTGACTTACATGTTTTCCTGGGCTTGTTTCTGAACAGAAGGGTGAGATCCCCATTTTGCAAATCCATCCATTAATCAATCAGCTTAGTTTTATTTACATCCATCCCCTTTCCTTTCATAGCCAAGGAAAACAATAGCTACATAACATTACCTAATGATTACTTTTAATTGTGTCTCAACCACATTCTAATCAATATGAGCTATGGATGTATTTCTGAGACTGTATGCTTCAGCTTATTGAGGAAGCACTCTTCTCTCTGTGCCCCTAATCAAATTTGCCAACACTCACCTTTGGCACTCTGATGATGGATGGTCTGGGTATATGCGTGTGAACTGTGACTGTATCACTTCCCAACACTTCAGCAGGAGATGCAGATGAATCAGAAACCACAGCCATGCATGGGAGTGCAGTATGATTGCTTGAATTGCCATTTGCGATTGCACTGTGGGGTGTTTTTGCACAATGGCTATGTGGGGAGATCTCTCCTCCAGCCCTGTCCCTCTGGAGACTCAGGGTGTTTGTGGTTTTTGCAGATGGTTGGCTGCTGATTGCAGAGCTGGTCTCAACCTTTTGTATTTCCACTGCAGGTAGGCAGTTTGGCTCCGGTGGATCAAAAGGAGCGCTTTCTCTTATACTTCCAAAACAGGTGAGCAATGCTGAACAAGGAAATGGATGCATCATGAATACCAGGATGCTCTTGTTGCTTATCCCATGTTTGCGACTGGCATTCTTACTCTGGAACTATCACACCAGAAAGAGCAGCCAGACAGCAGAGGCACTCCAAGGATGGCAGTGGGAGGTCTTCTTAAGGTGAGTCTCCCATTATCTGAAATCCAGAAAGCTCTGCTGCTTTGGAAGACATGGTCTGAAAAACCATTTTCCTCAGGTTGCTAATGGGAGCAGACAAAGAACGTGTTAGGTCCTCCTTTGGACTGAAGAGGTGCAAGTGCACGGAAGATGGTTTGGGATGGATTCATGCTCTTCTTCACCTGTCAGCAACTAAACAAAAAGCTCTCACAAAAGAACCATCTCCATAGCAAGCTACAGTTACAGTCTGAGGCCAAACAGATGCTTCCTGATGAGGTAGTTCGAAGTCAATAGTGCTGTAGCCTCAAGTTACTTGGCTGAAGTGGCAAAAAAGATAATGTAGCCTGATCTGCCCAGCTATAATAGGATCGACACGTGTATCAGTAACATCATAACAATAGCATATGTGGCTCTAGTTACACAACTCGGATGTTTATTAGTGAAGGCCAAAACTGAAATCTTTATCTCTGCTGAAGATCAAAAATAGATTTTCCAATCCCTTGCTGGGCCATCTATTATTAAAGAGGAGGCTGGCAAGCTGGTTTTAAAGTTTTGTCAAGAAGGAGGCAATTAGGTTGGTCCTGCTATCTCAGTCATATGAAAAGATTCTTCCAGTCCCATGACTGTATGCGTGTCTGGCCTTTAGAATTCCTCTTTCTGTTTGCCAGGTAGACTATGAATAATGAGTAGCTTCTTTCTTTTTATGAACTCATCCATATGCCATTTCAAAACACATGTTGTTTTCTTAGTCTGGGGTTTGATCCCTGGAGTCCCTAGATCAAAGAAAGATGTTTAAATTTAGGGAATACTTCAATGAAGTTGGAAAGATAATGTGAACGCTTTATACATTTTATTTCAAATGGAATGAGACTTGCTTTTCCTCTTTGCCCAGTTCTTTGCCCTATTCAAATACATTGTTTCTGAAGGAGAAATTGAATACTATTTATTTAGGTTTGTACTGCATCTTTTTTACCAGAGTTGGCCAAGGGACACTTAAAATGTAATAGAAATATTCATAATCTCAGACTTAAAGAAGCAAGAGCAAAAATATGATTGTATCTTCATCTGACTCTCTTTTTCCTGCTTCTTTCTCACAGAGCAGTAGGTCGTTGATGACCTTGCAATGAAGGGTGGTATGTGAAGGCACACTTTTGGTTGCCACCAAAGCTGGCAGTCCTATGTCTTCTCCTTGTCCCTCTTCCCCTTAATGTCTAAGAATAAGAGAGCCAGCATGGTGTAGTCGCTAAGAGCGCAGGTGTGGGCATCAGGTAACCTGGGTTCTAGTCCCCACTCAACAATGGATCACTCCGGGTGACTTTGGGCCAGCCACAGACTCTCTGGCCAACCCACCTCACAGGTTTGTTGTTATGGAGATAAGATTATGATCAGGAGGAGGAGAATGATGTATGCCACCCTAAATAAATGCAAAACACATGGCATAACGTTTTCCCATCCTTGCTCCATTTATCTGCTGGACAGGGAACTAATCACTGACAAGCTGCATCATACAGCTAATATGAAATACAGTGGTACCTTGGCTCATGAATTTAATCCATTCCAGGACTCTGGTTGTGATCCAAATTGGTCATGAGCCAAGTTAAATTTCCCTATAAGGTTCAATGTAAATGAGGTCAATCTGTTCTGTAACTATTTTTTTTAATCAGAAAAATGTGAAGAAGCAAAGAGACGAAGAACAACAAAGATCGCAGCCATCTCCCCCCACCCCAAGCACGAGCCCAGCCATCTCCCTGCCCCCCCAGCATGACCATGATCACGCCTGTCATCCCTGCACATGACCGTCATCGAGACACGCTGGGAGGGGAGAGGCAGGCGTGAACATGGGCGTGCTCAGGGGCGGGCGGGTGCAAACATGGGCATGCTGGGGGAGAAGAGATGGGTGTGAACACAGCTGCACTTGGGGGGGGGGGGGATGGGTGTGATTGTGCTGGGGGGAGATGGCCAAGATCACGGTTGTGCTCCTGCAGGAAAGGCAGGCACAATCTTGGCCATCTCCCCCCTGCCCACAGCATGATCACAGCCATCTCCCCACTCAGGTGGGTGGGGAGATGGCCGCGATCATGGTCGCCACCAAATGTGGAGTTCATGACCTGATTCAAAATTTTTATGACATTTTTGTTTGCGACTCAGTTTGGTCATGAACTGAGGCGTTCGTGAGCCAAAGTACCACTGTATACTTCTTTGCTAAGACAACAGGAAACATTTTTCTGCTTACTATTACAAGATGGATTGAGAATGATGACTGCTTATTACACTGAATGCAACAACCTTTTACTGACAAATTTATCACTGTCTTTCTGTGTATGTGTGTGTAGAGGGGGAGTACATACAATCATACATTTGCAAGGGGCCTAGAAGGCCATCAGGTCCAAGCTGCTACTCAGTACAAGACTCCGGTCTCCCATGTAGATCATAACCAGGGCTAACTCTGCTTAACTTTCAAGATTAGGCAGGATCAGGCACTTTAGACTGAATCTCAATTTCACTATTACTGAGATCAAGATAACAACTCTTTTTGCGCAGGATCACATTGTCAATCATTCATAACAAATAGTGGTGTCTCTTCTACCAGTCACTGATCTGCATGTATGATACCTGATTTTCATTACATTTTACAGAACTGCCCTTTTAGAGATAAGGAGAAACACTCTCTGCACATGGTCAAGGGTGGATAAACAGTTACTAGTGTCTCAAAACTGTAAGGACTGAAGAGTGCTATTTTAAGTACTGTCACTGTGTGTGAGTATATTGGGGTGGCCAACCTTTTTTCTGTCAAGAGTAATCTCCAGTAATCAGCTGCGCTGCATGATGGCAATAACTGGGGCTGCAAAACCAGAGCCAAAAGTGGATGGCTCACTCCTTTTCTCTTTCTGCTTCTCCCTTTTCTTTGTTCTCATCTCCTTCCCCATCCAGTGGGAACAGATCACTTTTGCCAGAGCGTGAACCAATTGTTTGCAGAGAGCTTTTGAAATACATCTAAGTTGCTCTCCAAATGTAAGTAGGATATGGGTATATTTCTATTAATGGTTGTATGTGTGTGTGTGGGGTGTATGAATGCAATGTAAACATTCTAGTAACTCTGGTTCCTAAATGCCATTAAATTAAATAACCACACAGGAAAGAGTGGTTGTAGCCCCTCTCTGATGACATGTTCCTAACTATGTGATCAGTACGGTAGACAGTGGTACATAATTTGAGTAAAATCCTACATAGGTCCTTTTTACAGTAGATCCATTGAAATGAATGAGACTTAAATTAGTCATGACTAACTCATGTCCCATTCATTTCAATGTGTCTATTCTAAGTTCACCTTAGGTAGGATTTTACCCACTTGAATTATTTTATCTAGAATTTATGTATAGGGTTGTTTAATTTTGTTGTCAGAGTGTTTTTCATACTCTGTGGTCATCATTTAAAGTCATTGCATTTGTTTTTGCCTCCTCTTCCTGGTTGCTTTGGGGTTTTTGATAGGAGGGAGAAGTAGGGTACAAATAAACTTGAGAAAGTAAGCAGAAATAAACTCGAGGTGGGACGCAGGGCTCATATAACAGCTGATGTTTCAAGTGACCTCTTATGCACAGGTCAACTTCAACGTGCAACACAACAACCTGGATTTTTCAGCTGAATGTTTTTTGGAATTACAGAGTGGAGAGAGAGGATAAACATTTTTATACTGCTACTTGTATGCAAGACTCACTGAACTTGGTGGGACTTGCTCATGGGCAAAGAAGTGAAGAACTGCTCTGTTTGCTGCAGATTTCATTCATGGTTGGAATTTGCATAGATCTCACTGGGTTTACACTGGGTTTCCTTACAAGCTACCATTGTACAGAGAATGGAAGATACAATGTAAACAGTTGACCAACATATATGAAATGAATCCTAATTTTTGAAAGTGTTTCCATTTGTGAAAGTGCAAATAGAAGGTTGTTGCAAAAAGCCCTCACACTAGAGAATGCACTATTCAGTCAGCAAACCAAGTATCTGTTAGTCATCTCTGATCCATGTTTTGTTGGTTGTTTTATCCTGCCCAGTTTCAGATATTACTGAATTCAGAACCCAAAGGACAGTTTTCAGAAATTCCAGTTTGTCTGATATTGTTCAGCAATTAATCTTCTACACTAACTAGATATTTTCAAAGGCTGCCAGCTCCCAAACCTGGGTGCAACTCTTCGCATCACAGCGCTAAACTGGTAGGAGAAACTGCTGCTAGGTTTTCCCTTCAGTGTGACTCTTAATGGCATAAAAACCCTTTCAGGGTCCTGTGCTGGGTTTCCAAATCTAACAGCTTACAGTTGTAATGGGGACAGAGGAAAAGACTTGCTTTTCCTGCAGTGATCCCAGGGATATCTGTGGGTGGACCAACAGGGAGGAAGGGGCAACAACCTACAGTGAGCTGCCAGGCTCACTGTGAATTGTCACACACAAGCCATTTATCACAGTTTATTGCTAGGAAGGGTTAGTGTGATGTTTGAATGTAGCCACTGTAAGCATATGGATATGGATCTGTATATCATAGTGTTTACTTTAGCAAAAACTGCTTTAACACAACTGTTTATGAAAACACAAACACCCAATGATCAATGGAAGGTAAAATCAAATGGTGCTAGAAATTGATTTATTAATAACTGCTTTATAATAGCTCAGAATCCCCAGATTCAACCGGTGGAAGAACCTTTTCCCACTTGCACTGTAACATTGAAGTAAAATCTGCCTAAACAAACATACACATTTAAAATGCATTAGCAACTTTGGGGAACAAATACTATAGTTTAAACTTCACCTTCTGTTACAAATTAGCATTTGCTTTTGTTTCTTTATTTTTGCTGAGTGATGCCACCATCCTTCGGGTTATAGCAATGCTGGCATAACAATAGCCAACAACTCAGTGTAAAGTCTATGTCACATTTCCCAATTTGCAAAACTATGGTTTGCAGGGAGCCTGAATTATTCCTCTACTGGGTCACTCTCTTAAATTATGTGCAATGTAAAGATAATACAGCCCTACAAAAAACTCTAAAGATGGTAGAGAGAACAAGACCCGGGGCAGATCTGTTTTTAGCAGGCACTTGATTTGCACTCATTAACAAATGATTTTACACATTTCCATGCCATGAACATTTTTGCTCATTGATTTCGGCAGACCAAGCTACTGTTAGAGGCAAAATGGTATGACAAACTGAGGTATTTTCCTGGTCAACAGGCAAGCTGGGCCCAGGTCATCCATGCCTATTCCCTTTCCCTCAGGCCAAAATTGCATTCTTAATTGTAATGAGATATAGCACAACCCTTCTGAGCATTAAAACAATTACCACTCTTCTAGTCCAAAATGAAATAGGGTGGATTTTGTACAGGGCAACAGAAATTACTCATGAATATTGGCTACAATAATGTGCTTGGGAAGTGGCTATAGCTTTGTGGTAAAGGACATGGCTTCCATATAGAATCTCCAAGAACACCAGTTGTTTTATTTCAGAAAGCAGGGCTGAGAAAGGGTCCTGGAGCTGCTACTGCCAATTGGATTCTGGTCTCTAGAATCAGAGAGTGCTATAATATTTTAGAACCCTAGAATATCCTCCCAATTAGGAGTCATGAGTAAAAGCTGCCCAGGGACTCCCCTAGGAGTAGGGGGTGGCATACAAATGTATGTATGTATGTATGTATGTATGTATAAATAAATAAATATTGAACTAAATATGTAACTTCAGTGGCACAGGGGTCATGGCAGGAGGGAAATAAAACCAGGTGGGCTGTA